TGAAATTAATCGACTGAACATTAAAGACAAATGTGAGCCCTGTGCATTGATATCGAAATATTAAGTGTTGCAACCTGCACTTTACAGAGTATTTGTGTAAGCTTATGAATTCTGAAAAGCACTGATCACCAACCTCAGCCTGTTGTTGCAAGTTCACACACACGTAGTGTCATAGGCACCTTTCTTCTGACTCTTTACGTCACACCAACTTTGAGTTATAGTTTGTTTTAAAGTATGACAGTTCTTGTTAAAACCTTCACTCGTACTATCTCTTATCCCATAATCTATTTTTAAGTTTCTGATCATGCCATTCCTGCTTTTATTCTTTGTTGGAAATGCCACCAATATTAGTTGTGAAGTGACTGTCTTCTGAGTGATGCTGACTCTACTTTCCCAGTTGCTGTAGTTCTTGTAGATATTGAACACTGTTGCATGAATACTGAATGAAGCACTGTTATGTAGATATTCCAGTAAATTTACTAAGTTGTAATATTTCTAAGTGTATGTGTGTGGTAGTAGTTGTAATACTATTTAGAAACCCAAATTTTGGTGTGTCTACCAGCAGGTTTGTGTTCAGCAATTAACATGATCTATTATAACATTTATTATATAACTGTATACTGTGTAATATTAACCTTTTCAGTAAATTTTGTTTCAGGAATATAAACACTGAGGTTATGAATTCATGGTTGTTGCATCAGAGATTAGGGCTGAGACAGTTTTGACAGTAACAAAAGTTAAATATATTTGATGCATGACCATCATCCATGTTTCACAAAATTTCATTAATTGTTACTTTAATGATGATATCCTGCTTACTGGACAGGGAAAGGTATGTTCATATGAAAACCCATTATTTAACCAATCTATCAATTGTGATTTAGTAATCATAGACCCTGATCAGAAATTTGCCATTGATATAAGGAAAAATTAGAGTCTTTGCCCTAATAATGATGTTAGTTGCAATATTTTTGCAGTAAGGTGAATCATATTATAAAGAGATTAATTCCATGGTACCTTTGTAGTATTTTGTAGCTACTAGATTACAATAAGACTTGTGATCCTTTAAAGGTAAAATTGTATAGTCCTCAATGTTTATTTCACCAATTTCTAGCAAAGAGATTGTAGCTGAGCAGAAATGAGCAAAGTACCTAATTACCACTTCATTACTCTGAAGAATTCTGTACTTTTGGATATTGTTGTGAAATGGTATAAAATCTGTCATTTCTCCATTCACCTTGTCTTTTCATCTTGAGAAGCCAAAGGTAGACATGAATATGTAAAGAGGAAGCCAAACGGATTCCTGAGGATAACAAGGAAAGTCCTTTATGAAACAGATCCTCAATGCAACCAGATCTAAGGGGTTCGGGGAATGCCATTGAACTTTAATTCTGTGGTCAAAGGTTAAAGCTCTTTTCTCTTTTTTTTTGTCAGTAGTGTAACTATCTGAAAAAAGGTTCAGTTTTAGTAGTGTTTAGATGATGACTTTTAAAAATTACCACTTCCTCAGATAAGATGTAATGTAGATGGCTTGGCTATCATGCATAGTTCCCAATGTGGAACTCAGTTCATCAGCATTGGTAACAAACCTGTGCAGATCTCAGTAGATTTTGATTAATTACTCTAGAAAGGGTTACATTGCTGAAGCAAAAGCCACTATCTTGATAAGTGCATACAAAAGATGGTATTCTTATTGTGATGGATTTGATGAGGAAATGGAAACATGATGGAAGAAATAAGGGAAAATACTGCACTTTTATAACATTTTGTTGCATCACCAAATGCTTTCAGGAAGATATTGACATGATAAGTTTATTTATTTTTTACTTCAGTTGATGAGTGCTGTATTATATTTTGTGTGTGTGTGCGTGTGTGTATGTGTGTGCACATTTGTTTGTTTGCATTTGGTTATATAATGGGTTTTTTGTATGTGTCACTTTGAAAGTTCTCTGTGCATATCCTCCTCCAAAGTAGATATAGCTTGATAAAAAGTAACTTTGTATCAAGTATTGTGTAAGAAAGTCTTTTATCCAGAATTGTGATAACTGAAGGTAAGATCATTGGCGTCCTTTATGAGTTTGAGAGAACAGATAATATAAGATTTTGGATTTCTGGCCTTGAATGATGATTTAATCTCCTGAGGGGAAGTAAAGTCATCCAAGTTTTGATTGATCTTCATTGTTTTTTCCTAATATTTTTTCATTATGCAAAGATGTCATGGGTTAAAAGACATTAGCTGTTGATATAGTTGATTTTAACTGAGATAGCAGTTCACATCCTTGTATGTGTGGATTAAGGTGTACCTCCCACACTTGCATCTAATATGTATCAATTATTTGTCTGTTATTTGCCACTTATTATCAAGTACCATAAAGTCACTACATTAACTTCATGCAACTCATACATTTATATGAAATAATTGTTTCCCATATGATATACTTTTGTGTGTGTGTGTTTGTATGTGTGTATGTGTGTGTATTTTTTTTAAGATTGTATGTTTTTGTGTGTGTGTGTTTTTTATAGTTTATTCTGTGTTGTTTGGTGTTGAACATTTTTTTTTTCCATTTTTCCTTGACTGCACTTATTTGTGTTAGTTCTTTGTTTGCAGATGTATAGTGCAGCCATCTAAAATACTCTCTTTCAGCTTCCTGTTTCTGTAGACTTCTGCTGCTCTCTTCATTGTTTATATTAATCAACCTTTTAGGTGCTGACCAACAGAGTGGACTGTGTTGGTTCTTGATGTTTCATCATTGGGTATTTCTAATTCTCAATATCTATTATCAAAATTTTCATAGTCCATCAATCTTCCCTGTCACCTCTCTTCAGCAAACACATGCCACTCAACATTGTATAAGAAATTTCTTAAGCAAGGTCTGGAGTCTTGGATGTTGTTGGGGTGTCAGTCAGTGTGATTGACTGTTCTTTTGGTGTGGATGTCCCCTGGTGTGGGTGTCCCCCTAATGTGGATGCTTCCCTCCCCCCCATAGTGTGGGTACCCCCCAGGTTCTGATGTCCTGCCTAATATAGGTGTTTCTTTTCTTGTTTGTGTATGAGAGTCCCCTATATGTTGTGTATGTATGTGTCATTGCAAGGTGGGAGTTCCTTAGTTTGGATATCTTCAGGTGTCTGTCATACTCAGATATGCTTGTATCATTACCCTTTGAAGTGAAAATATGTCCATGTGTGGTTGAACCCCAGATGTGAAAGTATTTAGGAGTGGCTGCATTGATGCCATGGATTCTTGTAATGAAGGTGTAACTTGTGTGTGCAGTTTCTTAGATAATTAGTTGATGCATGAGAACATGCCCTAGACTGCATTACACATTTCCTCTGACATGTTGTTATACTGTAGACAAATAAATAGTATCAAGATGAAGCCTTAGAGTCCAGTGAATTTATTCTGGAGCCATATGTAACCTATGCTAAAGATCAGTGTTTAGTACATCATTTTTTTGTAAAAGAGCAAAAAAAAATTTTAATTGCATATTATATACATACTTTCTTTGTATTCCATGTAATATTGGGGAAAGTATATAACTTTGTTCCTAATATCAACATTCATCCCAGTAATTGCAGTATTTTAATAATTATCCATCCTTTTGATGCATTCTTGATACTGTTTTGGATACATGAACCATGCAGAGTTAAAGATAGTCTCTCAGGATATCCTATATTGCCAAATGGTCAATGAGTGCTGGAGCCTGATGGTCCTGTAGACACTCACCCAAGCAGTGTATGCCCTGCTGCCGCTGCATGCTGACTGCTTGTGCTCATTGACATGGCTCAGGATCACTTTGTGCCGTCATTAGACTTTCTTGACATTGACATATCCCAAGTCTTGTGGTCTTGACTTGGGGAGTTGCCTTATGAACTATCCAAAGGCATCACATGTAGCTGTCATTGCAGTGGCTGTCTCACATCAAAGAGGTTATAGTGCCATACACACACCTGGATTGAACTAACTAGACCATTCCTTTGTAGTGTGTTGGTTTGAGCCCACATCACCACCTGTATTGTAGTTTACTGGTAAGCTCTTCCCTTTCATACCTGTAAATTTTTTCCCTGGATGCTTTCTGTTCTTGGCAAAGCAGAGAGCTTCCTTTTCATTGGTGTGACCTGTGGTTAGGGGTCCCTTTTAACTTTTCTAAGCCAACTGGCATAAACCTCACATAGAGAGAAGTCGGATATGACGCTGTGTTTGGAGACCTGAGATAGAGAGCAAGTTAGATTAGAATTATAGATGTCATTGTGTAAGTCATGAGCATGGAAAACAATGTAGGGCATTATTAATTATTATAGGTTGGTTTAGATTAATGGTACATATGTTAAGTTCAGGTAATTTCACACATCATACCAAAATTTAAGGGGGAATTAATTAAGCTGAAGTTTTCCTTGCCTGGTCGGTCGATGTATGGAGATTGTGCAGATTGTTTAAGACTTCAGTTTGGTGTTGTGAAGGGTGACACATTTCAGGCTTCAATGGCTTTTATATTATGGCTTCGTTCCATATGCCAAAGGTAATTATGTACTACTTATCTATTGGTTAAGGAGGTTAAGAGGTATTCATTGTTATTGGCTGAATTTCTGCCAATGCCAAATTTGGTCTTTGGAGTTGATGATCAGTTATCATTTATTAAGATTATATAGTCATTTTATGAGTATGAAGATTTTAGGAGTATGAGAAAGAAATTCTTTAAGAGAATCTTTAGTAAACATAAGTTTTATTAGTATAAGTGCCATATCACATAACATGTTCATTATGGGTAGAGCCACTAGAACAGTTTAGGTGTCCTGGGATACCCTTGCTCAATGTGTAATAGGATGTTCAAGGACACTTTGTTATCAGGAAATGTGTTCTGGGAAGGTTGGCTCACTGTGCATGTGCTCTAGGACACTTGGTTTCACACATCTGGCATTGTTGGATTATCTGTCTCATTATGTGGACATATTTGGGTTATGGTTTCACTGACATGTGTGGGTTTTTGGTTGCGTGTGTACAG